ATATTAAAAAATTTTTTAGAGATAATATTAGTCGCATTATTTACAAAAGAAAAGTGAGTGAAAGAGAGATTATTTCCTTGATTGTATTATAATTATACTGCATTATTCTGAGGAAACTTGCGCGAGTGTATCATAATAGTATCATGAATTAGCAGAAACTCTTTCGAGAAAAATTTGTGTCCAATTCTCTGAGTATTTTCCGAGAAAGTGACAGTTGCATAATAAAAATGTTTTAATGTGTATATATAAGCTCTATTCAGTAAATTTATAAACTAATGACTGTTACATATCACGAGGTGAACGCCTTTTCTTTCTGTGGGTTACGGTTGAATAATTATTCCAATCAAATGGAAAGAATTTGATTGTGTTTTTACATACGTTATGTTATTAATTTTTTTGTAAACATTATATATATATAGAGAGTTTTTACATAGTAATGTATAATTTAATTTTTTTCTTATTTAGTAATATTTTTTAAACAGTATTCTCACACTTAAACATTTATTTTATAATTAAAGTAAAATAAATAATAAAATAATAAAATTAGAGATTATAATACAAAGCTTTTTCAATTTTGATTAAAAATATTTTCTCTCTGAAATAGTAGGTTAAATGTTTTTATTAGCCTAGTTTTATAACAAGACTCACTGATTCCAATCTGGTTTTTTCACAGAAAGATTGGAAAAAACTGCTACGGATATTAATGTAACTATGAGAACGTCTCGTCTTGAAATTGTTAGTGCAAAAACTTGATACTCATTTAGTTATTAGAAAGATTATGTGTGGAATTTTTGAAACAATAATGTCAAAAGTATAATTAAATTTATTAGATTTTTTTTTATATAATATGATTTAAAGAAAGCATTTTTCTATTTAAAAATATAAGCATACATATGCCATAATTATATTGCTCTGACATTAAATAAAAAATATTTTTAAAAAACATTTAATACATATAAATATAAATTTTTATACAGTTATATTTAACACATACAGAAAAATGAAATTTTACTAATACTTACCTCTTTTCTGCAAAATTTTCTGCATTTTTCTTCAATATGGAAAAAAATTACTTGGTTTTTAATTCTATTTTAATATACGTTTCTAGAAACAGATGCGTGAAAGATATATCGATGAAAAGATAAAATTGGTAATACATAAGCGTGATAAACGCCGTACAAATTACAAGATGTATATATATTTCTTTTTTAAGTTAATATGTACATATAATATTCTCTAGAGCATCTTACACATGAGCGATGCATTTCCTTTCCCCTCGACTCGAATGTTCCGTACTAACACATTCGATACTAACGATTAATTTTTCAACTTTCGTATAAAATGTTATTTACTCTACTATACATACAATTAAATCTTCATAGCGCGATTAATGCTGACACCATACAGTTTTTATCAATGCAAATAAGAAAAAATTGGTCCGTTTTTCTTTTTTTATCGAACAAGATAAACTTATTTATAAACAAGATAAACATACTTATAACATAATTCTAGTCGTTTCGCGAGCGGATCTACGAATCACGTGCAGATACATTAAACGCATTTCGTGATCAAACGTCTCGCTTGTACTTTTGATTACGGATTTATGCGGTACCGTTCCCCGAATAGACTTTCTTATTGATAACCGAATCCGATTGCGACGCAACGTCGGACCTGTTCATGTAATCCCTTAGGATGTTGTTATAAAACTGCTGTTCCAGCCGATGCTTATCGCTCTCGAAATATTCCTTCACCTGATCCTTATTGTTATAATAGTTCTGTGTGTTTCTGGTCGGTAATTGTTTATTCTTCATTAACAAACCGAGAAGATTATGCATTCTGGGATGATTAATGTCATAGTTATTGTTATTTGACGATTTAATCTCTCTCAAAATTTTACCAATATTTGGTTTTGCCGTGGTGAATGCTGAATATCTATCAAAGGACGGCTGATGTCTAGAATCATAGTTAAAGTTATCCGGATCCATATACAAATGTATATCACTAGAGGATGTTTCTAGTCTGCCGGATTTAAGCGGCAAATTGCTCGGTCTTGCCGGTTTTCTCGGATTATTTTTGAACCTCAAGGATCCTGGTCGTTTCTTCGGCTTGTCGTCAAAAGGATTTTTCGAATGCAAAGGTTTTGATTTTGGTGGTGTGAGAAATTCTCTTACATGGCTACCACCTTTGAACTCGTCATAATTGAAGCTCGAATCTTCCGGTTTACGTTTGTGATCTGGTTGAGCAAGGCCATGGTAAATATGTATCGGCCCACGGGGTCGAGTTTTCAGCAAATGTTCCAAGGTTGCTAGCAGCGGATCTGGTTTCTTTTTACCGCTCGAAGATTGTGGCGCATCAGTCGTGTGCACGTTTTGCATACTCTGATGCGCCTCGAGACTGTCTTTATACTTGGACTCCGTCAAAGAAGCTCTCAGTTTCTGCATTTCGAGTCTCAGCTTTGCCAAATCGTTCGCTTCGAGATTCTGTCCGTTCTCCTGGGGCTTTCTGTCATTATTCCATTTCTGTGAGTTGTACATCGTCTTCAAAGATTCTTTAAACATTTCCTCGGCGTAATTCTGCAAATCCGAAGCCAGCTTCGGTTTTACAACCAATTCGCTTTGCGCCGCATATGACGGTTTGAAGAAATTTCCCCCAGGCATGACAGGTACCAAGTTCAAACCTTGTTGAATAGGCTCGTGGGCCGGCAATTTATTGTTAAGAGCATTTTGATCTTTAATGATGTCAACATTCGGAACAAAATTAATGGGATTGAACATCGGTCGTTCTTGATTCTGCAACGTTTTGATATCCACCGCGCCTAGTTGCTTAGCTTTATTCCCGTTTTCTGTCAAAGAATTCACGTAATTCTGAAGATCAACGGTCTGCGGATTAACCGGGTCGATCGTACTGAAAATTGGAATAGGCGTCGTCAGAACAGCAGCCGGATAGTGCATTGTCTGATATGTCGTATCGATTGGACTTGGTTTAATATTGGGATTTACGATTTCCACGTTTTTAGTGCCCACGTTCGGAAGATGCGCGTTTCCTGACGATGTCTCGAGCGCGTTCACAATGTTGTTTGAATGACTAGCCGCGCTGTCGGCAGTCTGCAACATGATACCGCCTAATCTATGATTTTTTATCAACTGTTTATTCAGTTGTAACTGCTGCATAGCATCCGCACCATTATTTTGTAGCTTGACATACTGCTGCGTCTGATCGCGCGGATGTTGCATAATCAGATTGCCATTTTGCAAATTTTGTTGAGGGATTAGATGCTGAGTATTCACAGTTATTCCGTTTAAAGTCGCACTGGGTTGCAGTATAGTCGGCATTATTTCGTGAGGTTTTATCTGCTGTGTATTATGATTCTGGAAGTAGTATGAGTTGATGTTAGTCGGCTGCTTCTGTTCATTCTGGCCAACGGCTAAACTTGCAGAGGCCAGAAAGTTTGTACCGGAAGATGAGTATGTGTTCTTTTTATTCTGCGATTCCATATTGATTCTGCTTTCCGGCATTGTCTGACCAGGACCAGACAGTAGCGTAGGCGCCGTCGGCGAACTTTGTATCTGTAAATTACCATGATGTATCAAATTTTGACCCTGCGTTCCGTGAGGATTTACATGGATCTGAGTAGTCTGAAACGGCGTTTGCATAAAGCTCGGGAATGTTTGAAGGGTCGGTTGCGGTACTATCAGTTGTTGTATACCGGAGTGGATTTGATTTATCGGTATCTGATGAACGACAGTGGATGCCGTTCGCGGCGTTACATTGTTACTCTGTACGTTCTGAACTCTGATATTTTGCAATGCTGGACTCAAACTGGACGTTAAAGCAAATACCGGTGTCATAGTACTTGGCAAATAGGTCTTCAGAGTATCTTTGTTCTGTCCGTTTGAATGAGAAAGCAGTACCGTGTGTACGGGATTTTGATAAGTGTTCTGACCGACGATAATGTCAGGCAGCGGCGTGGAGACTGCCAGATTCTGCAAGTTTACCAAGTTCTTTGATAATTGAGCCAAATTCTGAGCGAGGTCAGGCTGAGGAGTGCTCAGGAAAGGAGCAGTCGTGCCAAACGTTCCAATTGGCGCGACGGTGGCAACGTTTTGCAGAACTGCGTTAGACATGTCAAAACCTTGGCTGCTGCCTAACGCGGTCGCGTGGTCAAAGTTTGCAACGGGTACGAGATTAACCAAGAACTTTGGCTTCTCCATTTGATCCAGTTCAACTCTCTTAGACTGAGAGATTTCGAAATTTGGAGAGATCTGATTCCATGAATTGATAATTTTTGGTCTGGATCCGTTGTGTACTTTGGAGCCTTTTGTTTCTGTATTACCGCCTTTGAAACCGTATCTATCGTCCTCGACGCTCTCGTCATTATGATTTGTATTAGGATCGTTGAGCCATGGATTCGCCTTCACCTTGTACCGCTGTGATCTTACTTTCGAAGAGCTGTATTTGTTCTTATCTTCTTCTGTACTGTCGTTTATCGTGCTGCGATGTTCTTTCGGAAGTTTCCTAGAAGAATCAGGATACGACGGACGTCTTTGAGTCTTTTGCATCCTCACTCTCGGTTGCTCGATGTATTCGGAATCTGTCCTTTCGTCCGAGAAATTCTTGGAGTCCTCCGTGCGATGATAACTGCGCTGTCTGTTATTATCGTTATAAACTTGATAGTGACTTAATGTTCCCGAGTTGGAAGATTCCAAGTTCCTCAAGGCTGTGTCCGAGCCGCTGTTCATGTCTGTTTTATAATTGCTCGACTCAGCTACCACGACCGGCTTGAATCGATAGTGTGTTCTCGACGATTCCGCTACATTGTCGTAAGTTCCGCTATGAGTGAGTTCATTGACCTGATAATTCGTCCTTGATGAGGACGAGACCGCTGCATTCTGTCCGTGACTGTCGTAGTTCGCGGTATTCTGCTGACGATAATTATCAGCAACTTTCTCCTGTTTATAAGTAATTTTCTTTATATCTTGCGCGCCGTTGTACGAGTATTGCGCATAGGGATTTTCGTCATTAGCTTGCTGCGACTGCTGACCGTAATTGTGGGCATAGTTCTCGATTTTCTTCCCTCTTCCTTCATTCGGATGCTCCAAAGAAGACGTGTCAGGTTCGCTGTCAGTCTCGGTGTTCACCGTGCTGTGTACGTTCTTGTAAAATTCCTGGTAATTAGCTACCGCGGGAGTATTGTTGTTGACCTTCAGCAACTCGAATTCATTCGACCGCCCTTCCTGGAAATCGAAAGACCTACGATTCGTCAACGATCCAGGATAATTCAAGAAGATCCTCGCTTCCGAGGAATACGCTAGATCTTCCTCAAATTTTTTCGCCCTCACGTCCGAATTGTCTTGAGCACTTACAGCATTCCTGGCATCTCCGCTCTCTTCAGACTGATTCTCCTGCTGCTCCGAATCATTGGTCTCTAACGATGAATCGTACGAATCAGGATCGTTGTACGACGGAGAAACAGACGATACCATAGGCACAAAACCGTTGGAATTTTCATAATGTATCGTTGCGCTTTCTGATGATATGCGCGAGATTTGCTCTTGAGGATTTTTCGAATCCGCGCTTGAATGTTTTGCAGCCTCTACTATATTCTCCGACGCAGTTGCGAGTTGATCGAAAATCTCCTCATTTTTCAAGTTGACGCTTTCTGTGCATCTTATTTGCGGCCAGCTGAGAACCACCAATATGACCTACAAAAGATGAAATATGTTATTAAATTGCAATTAAAATTTGAAACAAATAAACTATCAATAATTAGAAATAAATTTACTTAAATAAAGATATCATAAATATTATACACATGACATATAAAACCAAATAAAACGTAAAATATACAAAATAAAAATTAATCAAAAACATAATGCAACGCAATACAAGATTCTCATGTAGAATATATATTCAACAACATTTTTTACTAAAAATGAAAATTTCATTATAAGAAATGCATTTATGCAATATATGGCATAATTAATATTATAATATAATTGACATTAAATTGGCCATAAAGAAGAACAATTACTGTAAAAGTATGAGACTTTTAGAGATATATCTCGAATATCGCACGTCTTTTAAAAAGAAAGTAGCATATGCATTGCAAAGTTTAGATAACTGCTCTATGATAGTAAGCAGCGTTAATTGCTGTTTCGTCAAGGAGATGACCTAGAAAAGAAAAACAGACTAGAAAAGTAAAATGCCAGAGCGTGTACGATAAAAATAAGGACTGAATGTGCACGGAAGCAAATCTTCAGAGACTTTCTCACCGATTCATGAGCATTTGAGTCCATTTGACAGTAATAGGTCCTCCATACGAGTTATATATGATTGCTAAGTTAATAATTTTAAATAGCAAAAAGAATTATCAAAGCTCGAAGTGTGTGTACAATAATATGATAAATGACTTTTCCTTTATAAAATGCAGAAACACGAACAACACATAGCTCGACCGTTTAGAGAGTGCCGGTGAAAAGTAATTGTGGAGAAAACATAGCCAATTTAAACTATGTAATTCTTCATGCCTATCGTTAAACATGTCGGTCGAAGTTGTCGATGAAAATAAATGTTGTTAATATACATGTCTTTATCTAGTTGGAAACAATTTTGTCTATCAAATTTCGGAAGCGTTTAACATTACTAATATATGCACTTGATAATTTGTTCATAATTGTTAGTATAATTGGTGTGCACAGATTTTATTCTTTTCATCTATAATTAAATTTAATTATCTGATTAAAAGGCTGGGTATTAATGTGTATAAGAAATTTTGTGTACTAAAGTATATTTATCAAAAGTGTTAAGTACTAGACCAAATTAAATTATTTTTAAAGCTCAAAGTATATGTTTCAAATTAAAAAATTTAATTAATTTGATTTGACATAATAATGCAACAGTTTTATAAAATTATAGCTAATTTGTAATTTATCTTTATCAATATTTGCAGTATTTAGCAATAGACATTTATTTAATTTTACAATTAAACTATTGCAATTAAACCAATTAATTAAACTTACAAGCTTAAAGATCACTGTTTATTAATTATATATTTAAACTATGTAAAATATATATATATATATAATATATATATATATATATTAAATATATATTTTATTTATTATAATTTAATTATAAAAATTTATAAATTTTAACTGGCTATAATGAAAGTATTTACTAGTTATATCGTAATCAGTAGACCATAATACTACATAAGATAATTAAGTAAGAACACGCAAATAATGAAAAAAGTTTTTCTTTATCATGCACATATCATTATTTTTAATTTAATATAAATTCTAAGCGCAACATCTTTTTACAATAAATAATTTACACTTATTATATACTTATATACAATAATTTACATTTATTATAAACAAAATAGACCTATGATGCAAATAGAGAAAAAGAGAGAAAGAGAAAAAAAAAGAATATATAAATCACATAATGATGAAATCAAGTTTTTACAACAAAATAATAAATTATCAAGTAAAAGCATAAAGCATTTTAGCGGTATAAAATAAAAGTATATATATGAGAAATGGGTGGGACCAAACTTTAAGAGCATATTCTATTTACCGTAGGGTTGCAAAGAAGTTATATGTGTGAGAGAAAGTGAGTTCTATAGTAATTTTTATATGTGGATTTATTTTGGAAAATTTTTATAATGATAACAATTCTATAAGTATGTGTGTATGTGTGTTTGTATGTTTTGCTAATTGTAAGATAAGAAATAAATGAAAAACTTATTAATAAAGTTAGAAAAAAGAATGGCATTTAAAAATAAATGTTTAAATTGTTTATATTAAGAATAAAGAAAATGCGCGCGCAAATATACTTCTTTTTTCCTCTATGTATGTGATAAATTATGTAAAATATATTTTATAAATTAATTATATATATATGCATATCCTGCAAAAATATTCTTCTGCATTTTGTATACGAAAAAAATCTGTCACCAATATTATATTTAGATCAAATCTTTTTATATATATCATGTTCCTTACTATTTATCTGCACAGAAATTAAACAACTGATTTTGTCACTACACAATAAACTTCACATTTTCACAAAGTACTTTAATCCAAGTACTTACATAATATAAAATCATTTTCGTCAAACGTGCTGACTCTTTGAGGACCCTTGAAAAATCAAACACAATCAAAAAGATCCGTGTCTCACACTATACTCCGCGTACACATTGATTGCAACCATCCGATCTCGTATCCTCGTCTTGTAATTCCAAGGACCCTGCGTGGCGAGCTTCCACGCGAGAACTGAGCCACATAGTAGATACGCGATTTTCTTTATACAGTCTAATGGCCAAGTGAAAAATATCGTTCTAAATATTATCCTGTAGACCAGACGACTGCGGAGAGTACTTTCATTCGCAACACGCGAGCGAGCCGGGAGAAATGTTGTCCAGTATATCGCAAAATGTGATACCACTTTTTATTATCATGGAACTCGAGCAGCGGAATCACTATGTACGGAAATGGAGATATGAGTAACGAAATAATATACAGAATAGAGCAGAATTACCTTCCACCGTAATGTACATTCTACAAAAAAGTCTAATTTTTTAATAAAAATCATCATATTTTAAGTTTTACGCAAGGGACGCTGTTGAAGAACATCATAAATCAGTGGAAAATGGCAATCGCTGCGATTTTTAGAAATATGTACATGGCGAGACACAAGAAATGCATCCAAGGAACTTGCATTGCAATTGCATCGACCGTGAAATCTATCAATACTTCCGGTGCTTTGCAGCCTCCCAATTTTCGTTGTTTTCGACTCCGACAGGACCAAACGAGACTTGTCAGTATTTTTTCCGCCGTAGTTTATGCGCTCTAGAACACACGCATTATGCCTGGTACGGCTACTCCTCCCAATACGGTCCGCAAACATAGATGAACGCCTGTGTGTAACACGGGCTGATCTTTTCTCCGTGAGTATGTGTTTCGTGCTTGAGCGTTCAGTTTAATGTCTTGCGTTTAATTGCCGTAGATGCAACGCAGATATCATCGAAGCCTCTCGTTGTGAAAACGTAGAATTAACGACTACTGTGTAGAGCATGGGTTGAACGTCTTTCTTAAGCTCCTGTCAGATAATTAACGTTAATTGCCCGGTTCAACGACACCGGTCACATCAATACACATATCTTTGAATATGCACATCCATATATGCGCCATTATGTGGTGGTGTATTTTTATTTTAATTCGGAATATTATTACAGACTGACACGCACATACGCAAAAGAATATTTATGCATTGATGCATGAATAAATGCATAATTGCGCTCAATGATCGCTGATGTGCGGCACGTAGATCGATAACAATTCTTCCTGTAAGGGCGGAGACTTTTACTTTACTTATATATACATATATACTATATGATCATTAGGAAAAGTTGATAACTGTGCTTCAATCTAAAGTGCATCATTTTTTTCCAATAAATGATCAGATAATACATACCTACGTTGCTCGGGCAATATATCATACAAAATATTCTTTTAATGATATAGGAACTGCCTTTTAATCGATTTCTATACCAATTCAAAAATAACTTCTTTCAGCAAAAATATCGAAGAAAATCATTATTAATTATACATTTCTATCATCTTTTTACCTTTTTAATTTTATTTATCTTTATAAATTTTAAATTAAAACTAATAAAAAAAAGTTTATTTAGGATTAAATTTTTGTCACTTATTTTCTCTATATTAAATTTTGTTATCTTAGTTTCAATAATTAATTATAGATAATTAAAGAAAGATTGATATCATATCTGACAAAAAATTATTAATAAAAAAGATGCTAAATAATTCTTTTTTAGACACGATTCATATTTTTTAGATTTTGTAAGATACTTCAAATCTTTATAGTATAATATATTTTAACTGTTTTTTTAGAAAGTCCTGTTCCAGAAATAAAATTTTTAATACGTAAATTAGATCAAGCTATATTATGTATAAGAACAGAAATAAGAAGAAAAGCAGAAAACCATATCTTAGCAATCATATAGAGATTCTAATTTAATCATCATTTATTCATCATTTTCTCTCTACACATATATAGAATTATTATTACACTATTTCCTGCTTTTAATTAATCTTTATACATGCAACTATCTTTATTTAATAGAATATATCACTATACACACATTTAAAAGAACTTATTACTAAAATATAGTATAAAATTTTTCAGACTAAAAGTTTATAGAACCTACAATATTTCCAGAATATGTAAAATGAGCAACATCCGACAGAGTTTAAGTTTTAATTAATAAAAAGTATACGAAAACGTAAAATAAAAAAATTAGTCTTTTTTTATAAAAACAATTAATTTATATAAAAGATTGAGGTACATATAATAGCAATAGAATTTGTATAAAAAGTTGTTTCTTATTTGCTTACTTTATTAGTTTATAACAATACAGTATACAAATTATGATTATCTTAAATTGTGTATGAGAACTTAAGCACTACGATTTAAAAGGTACCTTTCTGAAGTATAAAAATTTGGTTAATTTTTCGTAGGTACATTTGCAAAGCCACAAATGTGCTTCGATTACTACTGCTTTCCCAGAACAACAAGAGATATTAACATCAACAGATTCCGGTTCTCAGCAAATCAGTAGCACAGGTACATATTGTAGATATTATAATACATTGCACAATCCCACATTAAATACTATCACTAATGTCCGATATATTGTCAATTATTTTACCGTTTTCTTAATTTGTTTCATGGCACGAAACGTTTTATTTGCGAGACTAACATGGTAAAATATGCCAAATAATGTACATTACAATCATTTAATATTTGAAAATAAAAAAATGTAAAAAATATTTTTTTATATGGGAAATTTTGAACTTTATATTATTATTGGCAACTAATATCGTATCGTCATAACGATCAGTCGTTTTGACTTAATTTTCGTGTTCTATCGTAATTATAAAAGGATATAATGTACATAATTATTATAATATATAATTATTACTTTTTAAAATTGCAACTCTTTTTAAAGTATAACTCAACTAGCGGAAAGATCGAATTGAACGATAGAGCACGAAAGTTAAGGATTATTTCTCTTCGCAGTTTTTCTGCTCTTTATCATATATGCACAATTCAGTTCTTAATTCTATGATTTTTTAACCTCGGATCCTCCACGATCTGTACGCTCTTCACTTTCGGCCGGATTGCTGTGCGTTCGCCGTATTTCACGCTCGAGAGACTTTTCTCGACATCCAAATTGCTTGCCTCGTAACTCGATCTGCCGACGTAAGATTCCGTAGGATTACCGACCAGATCTTGAGCATTATTATTTTGTATTAATTGTGCCAATTGTTGCAGCGGACTCGTGGAGAATGAAGGTTGTTCTTTTGGGATTTGATTCCTGCCAAAATCAAAATTGGTCGGTTGCGCCAATTCTTCAATACTTCTGGCATACTGAACAAGATACTGTTGCAAAAGGGCCTTCAAGTTCACGTTTGGCGTGGCATTGGATTGAATAGGCGATACGCCGTCTACTCTTAGAATAATTACGGGTATGAGAGAGTTTCCGGCTTGCACAAAAGTCGGCCGCACGTTGAGAATGGACGCGGGATTCTTGATGTACTGCGAAATCGACGGATTGTAATTCAATAGGTCTCCGTACTGCAGATTTGAATAATTATCCAGATTCTTGCCGCTCGCGTTAGTTTTCTTGGCTGAGTTTTTGCGAGCTGGAAACATATAATATAATATTAAATCAATAAAAGAAATTTCGAGAAAAAAGAATAATCATTCTTTTTTTTACATTTAATACTTATATGCTTGTTAATTTTAATATCAGATCGAGTATATAATTTGCAATCATAAAAAAACTTTTACAAAAATTATTACACAAATTTTAAAATTTTATTATCTGCTATACTAAAATTTAGGTTTTTATTATTTAATCTTTTTATATTGAATTCATATTTAATGATCTGAGAAATCTTTAAAAGGCCAAAAGTATATTGAGCAATAAAATATTATGAAAAATAATTATTCTTTATTCTGGAGATATTTATTTTATCAAATATATAATTATTATTGAGCAATCTTTCACGGGATATATTGCAATAAAATATGAAAAAATATCATAAAATATTAACTCACTCGATGATATAAAACCTCTGCTGGGCGTCGTGCTTCTCGGAGCGCTCTCCGTGGTGTAAGAATCGATGTACTCCGGATTCGGGCTGCTCACCATGTATTTCGAGATCGGTCGCCTCGATGTTTCGTACCGATACTTCTGATTCTGCCCATTTGACTTGATGGAACTTCTCAACGGCGAAGAGGTTGTCGAATACGTGGAGGAGAGTCCGTTGCCGGTTCTTGCCTGCTGCGAAACGATCTGCTTCTGACCAACGAGATTCTGATAGCCCAAGCGATATGCCTGCTGCTGCGACGGTCTAGACAAGGTCTCGGCCGATATGAACGGGGTCGGAGGACCGCTGGGTTCCGGTGATATCGGAAACTGCATTGGACCTTGCGACAACACGCCGTTCTTCGCGGAAACGGACTCGTCAATCTGCGACGCGTCCTGAGACCTGGCAGCTTGTAACGCTTCCAGCGACGGGTAATCGGAGTAAGTTTCATACGTCATGGGCGGCGTATCGGATAATCGGCCGTCCGGATACTTCCAGAATATCTTGTTTTCATATCTGACGCCATCCTCCACTGTGTATCTGGGCATATTAGCGAACGATCCGGCGTTCTCCGCGTAGCTGGATGCATCGCCGGGTGCGGAGGTCGAAGATTCCACCGTATTCAAAGTAGGTCGAATATAATCGCGAGAATTCGCCTTTGATTGAACGCCGATGTTTTCTAGGAAAGCAGCGGTGTCGATGGGATTAACTGTCGAGGATTCCACCGAGCTTTGCGCCGTGTAACCCTGCACGTTTATCGCATGCTGTCCCAAGTATCTCTGAGAATTTACTTCGGCATACGATGGCGGATTTGGTGTGACGTAAACGTATCGATTTGAACTGAAGGTGGTGTAACTTTGCGGGCTCGGAGTGACGTAACCCGCCTCCGTTTCCGCGGAATTCGGCACCAAAGACTGCGGTGTGGTGGACGCATATGCGCCGCCTCGATAATCCACGTTCGAGTACGTCTCGACGGGAGGTCTTGTGGTTGAAGAGAAGCTCAGATATCGCTCAGGGTCGGACGTCTTCATCAATTTCGTTCGCAGCCCGAATACAGGCTGGGATATCGCCGCAGGATTATAATACTGATAGCTCGTTGGATTCTGGAAATTCGATCTGGTCGAATCTCGAATTTCGTACGACCCGGGCTGGGATCTCAGATCCGTGTAAGAATCGGGGACCGGTTTCCGATTGCTCGACGATGGTACTTTTTCGATTATAGTCCTCGGCAGAAATGGACTGATGGATTCCTCTATGGACACGGAGGTTCCGGTTTTCCCGGCGGGAAAATAATAATTGTATTTCCGCGAGGCGTGCAGGGCGTTCCGGTCGAAGCCATAACCGAAGTGGTTGTTGACGGTGCGCTTCGACTTCTCGTCGGCGGTCGCGTTATCGCCCGAGGTCGTGCTGTTATCGAAATCCAGAAGTATTATCGGCGGTAAAATTGGCATGATCTTTTCGACGCTGTCTTGCTCTTGCTCCGCGCTCTCGGTATCATTCGGAACATCGTCGGAAACGGAACGGTCGACGCTGTCCGAGTCATTCATCTTGATCTTTTTGCGTCCGGTAGTTTCTGTGTTGCAGAACGTTCCGAAGATCAATAGGAATGCGGTGATCTGAAAGTCAGGGGCATATGTATATAAGAAATCGCAGCAAAACGATGTAACAATGTGTTAGTCATCGATCTCGATACTACGGTAATGGCAATCTCACTTTCACTTCTCTTCCCTGTTTGTCGAGTAAATATGATTGCTTCGAGAAAATTCCGGTTAAATTTTTTTAACCATAATAAAATATATCTTAAAGAATGTAAAATAGCGCTCGTATTATTTATCGATATCTCTCAATAAATTATATTGTAATTGCAAAGATAAGTGTATAATTACGACTTTGAAGCAGACGGAGGAGGAAATATGGAAAGATATTTCTATAGAGTCAGAGTCAAGTGTGTCGGTCAACATCGTTAAAACAGGTTTCATTCGCCGCGCACTTGCAATTTTCACCGCTTTCTTTAAACATCCACGCAATATGATAGTGGTTGAAAGCGCTTTTCATTCGACTAGTAAAATAACTGTACAAATAGTTGTATAAAGGGGATCAGTAAGAATCTAATAATGTTAAAATGTGATTATATAATAAAGAAGAACATTAATGAGTATCAGTGAAAAAAATTAGACAAAGAAAAAAATAATAAATACATATTTATATAAATACAACGGAATGCTCGAAACAAGAAAATTGGCGTCAAAAAAATATATGTAACATTTGTAAAGAATTTATTTTCTACTAATTTATTTATACTTTAATTTAATTATACTTTGGCGTGTATATTTTCAATTTACTTTAATATGTACTAATTATTTAAATAAATAAAAAGAAAAAGAAAACTCTCTCTCCCTTTCTCTCTAAAGAAAAAAAAACTAAGCAAGCTAAAGTAAAAACAAACTAAACATAAAATTCATATATTGCAAATAAAACTTAAACGACATCTAACTTTTTTTATAATTATAAATCTTTCATAATTATAAATCATATCTATTTTTTAACATCAAAAACGACAAAGTATTATGTTTTCAAACAAATCGTATCAATCAAATCCCTTCCCATTTTCCAAATGTAAACATGCCGGCTGCTTCCAGCGCTGCAATTCCGGCGTTAATGACCCAATAAATATTCAGCATGCGACATGAATGAAGAAGGATGCGTGCGCGACCCGTCAAAAACAGCCGTTCATCAACGCGTCGATCGAATTGACGACGGTTGAAATGTAAAAACACGATCAATCGTGTTGCAATCGGAGAGATGGCAGATTTCACGCCGATCTTGCGACTTCTCGATGGTTACGTCGATGCGAAACCGCACGTTACCTAATGCCGAAAAGATCGCGATCGGATCCTCCTCGCGATGAATAATCGAGAAAAAGAGAAAGAGAGAGAAAGAGATGATGCATCCCCATTGACTTTCACTGACTTATTCAAGAGCACATCTGCCGTGGCTACTTTATCGTCGCCTCCTCGTATCGCGACTGTAGACATAAAAAAAGATCCGAGGTACTTTCACCGCAATTATGTCCGATCGGATCCAGGAAACGTTTGCGTGCGATCGAGAAAAAAGAATTTTTCGAAGCTATTATACATTGAAAAATAACAGCGTATGTCGGTCGCCGAATTTCTGTTAAAATATTCCCCACAGATTTTCAGTATTAAACCTTCAATCGAAGAGATTAATAAATTCCTATAGAACAGCTGCAACAAGGATTTTGCGCGATCAATCCTGCCAATAACGTATTATTCACGCGCGACCGTCAGTTTTTCGATTACATATAACAGCGTCGGTGAGGTTTATCATGAAAAAAGCAATTCTGTTATTATAATTATAAAACGTTTTATTATTAGGGATTATTAATAAAGAGTGTTTGTATTAGATAGCATAAAATTTAAATTATACTTGCTTCAATAATTTTTATGTAAAAAAGAAAAGAATAAAATATTATAATCATGAAGAAGACAAAATATATATTACAATAACGAGAAAAAAATTGCAGAAAGAAAGATGTGGCATTCATATAATACTTTTTATTCATATAATACTTTTCCATATTATTAAATCAATACAATATACGAAGTTATGGTGTATTTCTAGAAGCAAATTGTAATATTAATTAAAATAGCTAACGCGCGCGGAAAGATAATAATAAATTTTAATTTTATTAATAAAACATTACATACTTGACAGAAAGAGAGAAAGAGTTTTCAATTATTGAAAAGTGTAGAGAGATTATAAACGTAAAAAGAACCATATTTCTATTAAACGTAATTTTTAATAGATCGTGACACACACATACGTAATTAATTTATAATTTATATCACGATAACAAACACGCTCAATATTAATCAGCACTAGTATTACTTAATAAGATGCGAAACAAGGATTTGAACGAAGAGAAGTTCCTGCACGGCACTAAATATCGGAGATAAGTTTGATTCAAGTACTTACGTATACTCTAGCAAGACTCATGACGGCCGACCTTAAACCTGCTGGCTTAGCAAACTTGTCGTGTATGTTTGGTACTGATGAAGCTGAGGCCAGAACATCCCACCTTATATGCCCTCGCTTCTTGTGTGAGAGAGATACCATCATTATAGTTTCACCACAGCGAAACGAACGCTATTCGCGTTCGATACGGGAAGACACCTGCCAGTAGCGTAGTGATTTCTGACAGACCATATTGACCATTCTGACAGAACATATTGATCACGCAAGCCTTTTTCTATTACGCAAACTAACCAGCCGTAAATTCTTTATATTCTAATTCAGATTAAGAAAGTTAGTCTCGGATCTAAGAAAAAAGGAGATGTCATAGAACTCCATAGATCGCTCGTTAACGAAGTATCGATCTATTATAGAATACATCTTTATAAAAAACAGAACTCAGCCATCTTCGAAAAATTACGTTATTCATAACGAATACAGCCCATGAGAATATATTATCATGTATTTAAAAGTATAATGTGTACGAAATGCAGCGCACATTTAATTCCATTTTAGCTTGGACATATCGCGGAATGTATCTGCAGAAAAGTCCAGTAAATTATGCATTTATGAAAAAGAAAGCATCTCCCGTGTGCATAATGCAAAATTAATGACAAAGTGGCAATCAGAATTTTAAGCGGTTAATCTCGGTGCGCCTACACCGTTGGACTTGTCTCCGTGACATCAGCTTTCTCGTATAAAGGATTCTCTGCCGATATACTCGCAAAAATACTTACATACGTTCTCTCCTTGACATTAGATACTCCTCCCATAATGCATGACTGTCAACATAGATCGCAAAACTGTCATAAACAGTCATAAACTGTCAACACTAATCGATAATTTTATACACTCTCAGACATATTAATTACCGATAAATAACTTTGTCGTTTTCACACACACATTCTCACTCGATAAAATAAAATTTTTATAGTTGATCAAGCTATATAATCTTTTAATCTATCCTTTCTAATCCTAATAAGTAATATAAATTTTATTTATTTATTTCTGCCGCGATCCATTGTTATTTTAAATTGACTTCATCATCTTAATATATTTTTTACGATGAAATTACAGCAAACCCTTTACACACACGCACACACAAACATATATATTATACCTTCTTTTTGTTATAAAATAAACTTGTGTAAAAATAAAACTTTAAATCTAAAAAAATTGCACTATGAAAAGTGACTTATAAAGTTGCTGATAATTTTCATAATATTAAGAAAATTAATTAATCTGATATTTTTGAGCAATTTGTTTAATGAATCAGACATTGAATGAAGATCAAATAATATTTTGACTAATATTATAGTACAATTTTATTTAAAATTTTTAGTTAAAAACAATATTATTTATAAATAAAAATAAATAGTTTCTCAAAATAAAAATAATAATGTCGTTATTATTTATATGTGCTAATTGTTAGATATTATGTTTGTTATTAGAATCATTTTGGTATAATATACAAAACTGAAGAGTATAGAAAGAGTATATTGTAATGACAAAATAATAGAATTTAATTAAAAATGTATAATTCAAATAGAAATAAAAGAAAAATGTATCAAAAACTCATTATTGCTTAAAAATAAAATTGCTTGCACGTGTAAAAAAGTAAATTTAAGTAATTTGTAGTCATGATGGTTATAATGATGATGGAACTTAATTATCAAT